AACGACAACAACAATCAGGGGTATTAAACGTCGGTAAATGGCTACCAAAAAAACTTTTGAGTTTTTTTCTCTCCACTACACACACACATGGATATGCATGTGTGTACATGCACACACATTCGTCGGCGTCCACACACACGCATATATATAGATTTATATATTTGTTAACTGCTTAACACTTGTATTTGTTGTTGTTTCTTTTTTGGGTAAATTATTCACATTTTCAGCGCAAATGTTGCATTGCTGACTATTTGTGCCCGTTTCTTATTCAATTTGCACGCACACACACACAGACACGAAATGTAGAGAGACACGCACACACACACTCATGCACTCACTTTACACATTTTTTTTGTTATACGTTTCGGCGCTGCGTTGTTTTGTGTGCGAATTGATATTGCATTTTGTGCTTAGCTTTTGGCTTGACATTTACTTATTTATGCTTGCGCTTGCGGTATTTGTTGCTATTTTCAATTACAAACTTTTCACCTTGAAATTTTTACAGCAGGCTCCGAACGGTCGACAGATTGTGGCGGTCGGGCGATAGGCGCTCGGTACGTTGCAACACTGACTCGTGCAGTGTGACCTGCAAGGCGATACTACCAAATTGCCGAGTTGTATGCAAAATCAAATGTCCGAAAATACCGCAGCACAGTGAATATTGCAAGTTTTGCAACACTACTAGTTGGTATTTACTTAATATTGTTATTTATTTATCTATTGAAATTTGTGAAAGTAATTATTATCTAATTTATTGTTATAGTGATATTTTAGTATTTAAATATTTTTAAGTCTCGTATAAGTAGAATTTTAGTTTAATGTGTTCATCGGGCGTTCGAGAGATTAGATATATATCAAGATAATTTTGCTTAACGAATTGACAAACAAATTTAATCTCACTGTATAACTATTTTGGGTCCCATTAATGCTGGATTGTATATATTTTCATTTATGAGCATAAAGTTCTTATACTACAAAAATTTGAAATTGGTAATAGTTGTGCGGCCTATCGATATGTATTACACCACGAACTTTCGTTAAAAAAAAACACTAGCGTTCTTTTAACAGAACCGTTTTTCAGCTGTTCTCGTGCGTTCGGCACGCTCAACAGTTGAGCATCACGCTGGCTATGAAGGCGGTAATGATCTAAATTTGTAGTTGATTGAAAGACTTGCCATTCAGCAAGATTCAATGTATAATGCTTTTTTTATTTCATTGTAAGAAATAAGTTAAGTTACTTGCAATACAATACTTTATCGAATCGCATTTAAGTACCTATTTGCAAATAAATCACGCTAATGATCGACTATGTTCAACCCCAGTTGAGCGTCTACGTTGGAACGTGTTTTGGATTAGAATTAAGCCCATATAATAACAATTCCTTTGAACTATTGCAGCAGCCGCTGCTCCCCCTCCCACGTGCATTTCAACTGCAACGCAAAAAGCTGACCAAAAACCTGCCTCGGGGTCGAGTCTCGTGTCGGACATGTTTTTCTGCGTAATTAGTGCTGCACCCTTCCCCCAAACACTGCTGCTCTGGCTACTTCTCCCTCTTCCCTTCTCACTAACGTAATTCGCATCCCTGCTCGAACTCAGCGAAGCGTTTGCTTCGGCGATTCCCGTTACTTATTTCTTGTTTCGCATTTTTGCTTTCTTTAACAATTTCCATTTGATTGCATTTCGACGCCGGTACGCAAACACACACAGCATTCATTAGGGTGACCAGCGTCCAGTTTGGGCCTGAGCTTAACTGTCATTTCCATAAAATCGCACTGCCTGGCAATCATACACATACACGCACTTCCATTCTCACTCTTGCACACACACATACACAATACCCCTCACACTCTTTGAGCGACGTATGCAAAACTTTCTCTTTGCATTTGAATTCCTCCACTTTTTTGTTTGCTCTATTTCCCTCTCTCTTGCTTACGGTCTCTCTCTGCTTGCCCATAATTATGAAGATGAATGTTCTTATTGCTTTTATATCCCTTGTATGCGTGTATGTGGATTTGTAAGCCTGTGTGTGTGTCTCGTTGCCCACATTCTCTATTAATAATGCCTTCGGTCACACTCTGCATACATGCGCTGAAATTTGTTGCTCCTTCCTCCCATTTGGAGCACTAAAACTTTGCCAACCCACAGTGAGGCAACATTGATTGAAAAGATAATGAAAATAAGAATAGTAATATTGATAATCATTTGTATAACAATAAAAATATGAACGAAAATAATTATTATAATGTTAATATAAAACATTTCCAATAATTGCATTTTTACAAGAAATATTTTATGTTAAAAGAAATAAGTGTTAACTAAATATTTAAAACTGAAAATAATGAATTAATGATGTGATAAATAATTTAAAGAAATAATTGGTGAATAATATAATAGTTACTATAATTAACTAAGTATAAACTCTTGGAAATGATAAAAAATACAACTATTATATTAGATGTGGAATACAAGTAATTTTGTTCTACTTTTTTTTTTATTTATTTCTCTCTATTTGACTAGACTTAAGACTTTAAGATTAATCAACATTTTCAACACTTTAGTCCCACTGTGCAATGGTTAAGTTCTGCTTTGCGCGTGCAACTAGCGCGTTCTACAGCTTCTTTTTCTTCTTCGTCTTAGCACGCGTCGTTGGGCCGTCGCCGCAGCAGCAATAATAAAGGAAAATCCGACAGGATGCTAATGCGTATTTAGTTATTTAGTTTATGTGTGTGTGTGGAAGTGTGTGTGAGTGTGTGTGTGTGTGAATGTGTGCAAGGGAGGACTCGATTGAGGATTCGAAGCGTTTGTTTGTTTTATGCGCTGCTTCAGATACATTTGAATGTGTGTAGTGTGTGTGTGTGCGTGGGTGTCTGTGTAGATGTGTGAGGTATTAGCTCTCCCTTTGAATATTTGCATATTATCGATTTTTGTTTGGAAAAGCCATTAAATTTACACATCTTAGTTCGAGTTCGTTCCAATAAGAAGAAACAAGATAATGTGGATAGTCGAACTAGAACAGTAAAATTTGCCTAAGGCAGACCCTTACTTATGTAGGCTGTAAAACAAACATTACTAAAAAATTAAATTTCGAAAATTTTCTCTAAACTCTTACCGAAGAGTCCAGGAGACTTTTAAATTTTTTTAAACTTTTCCAAATTTTAAAATTTGTTTAGCTAAAATATTACAAAATTGTATTATTTTAATTTTTTTATTGGAAATATTTTCTGGACCGAAAAAAAAAATTATAAAAAAAATTTCTTAGATCCTTTTGTCTTTTCTTATTGTCACATACAGCTCAAATAAATTTTACAGGGCATCTCTGTCACTTAAGTTGAGCTCTCCGGCGACCTTCTAAGTTTTCCATATAATAAATACTTAGTATAAACGATTGCCACGATTTAAGTAGCTTTTAAGCTTAACAAGCGAACGAAATGAAAAACTGAACTAAACAATTCGATTTGTGAGCTGCTCGAAATTCGACACGAAACGTGGCCAAAAGCGCCTGAGAGCCAAATTGAGTTCAAGCACATAGAAATGGCCCAGGCGCAGTCGACAGGACCTAAGCGGATTTCAACAATTTAAATAGAATTTTGTATTTTTATTTCTTCTCTTTTCTTGTTTTTTTTTTGTTGTTAGAGGGCAAAATGTCAAAGATGAAACGACACGGGTCCAATTAGATTTGGCCAGGCACGCGAACCACCCTACAACCACCGCCCACCCATCCGTTTGCCTTCATAAAGTGCGTGGGATTTTTGAACAGTTGGCAAAAGCAAAAACATGCTCAAAGCATGGGCCACAGGAATTATGAAACATAATGAACTGAAAATCGAATTGGAATCGAACTTGGCCTCAACTGCGCCTGGGGGAACAATTACGCAGGAGCAAGACCAGGCGAACTGCAAGAAATACAGCCTAAGTCGTCGATATGTGGCACAATTTTCACAAGTTCAATACTGCAGGAGAGCGTAGAAGAGTCGTAACTATAACTGAAGAGTTTGCGTTTATTATAATAATGACTTTTTGAAAGAATTGAAATACTAGCACTGCATATGTCTATATATATCTACAGTCTTCTTAAGTATAATAAGTTATATAAGTAAGTATAAGTTAATTTATATATATAAGTATAATAAGTTATATATATATACTTTAGTAATAGTATAACTACAGCTACATTTGATGCTTCATTACCGTGCTATATAAGACCAAAATTTACTATATGTAGCATATAATATATCCCTATATACTTTATACTATATAATAGTATATACTTCTGTGAATTTCTATATATATAATTCTAATATATAATAATATATAATTCTATGAATTTTTTATACCACCTGCTATACTATATATATACTATACTATGTTACTATTTAATATATGGGTAAGAATTATATTGTGAGTCTAACACTCTATACATATCATACTAAACTCTACTGTTATACAGTTTACAATACTTATTTGTGCATAGAATAGATTTCTTTAGTATATCATATTGTTGACATAGGAACTATCAATCAAAACTAAATAATTGCCTGAGAAACCTTAAGAAACATTGTTAAGAATGAATGATGGAAGGATATGTATATATAGTATATTCTTTACATTTAAGCCAGAGATTAACAGATAGAAGAAGCTTAACAGCTTTTAAAATATCTTAATAAAAAAACTATATTTATATATATATAAACTCAATCACTTTATAAAGCATAGTTCGAAAATTGATCTATATTTTCTATGTTTTGCCATTCTCAAAACTCTAAGGCAGATCCCATCTTAAGGCCATCGCTGTAAAGTTGATATTGCAACAATTTATGACAGTCAAACTATGTATATAAAACTTATGCGCAACCAGAAAATATATCTAAATATTATTGTATATACAGTATAATCAAATATTGACATAGGAATCTTTGTAGGAAATTCTTGTAAATTTAAATTTTTTTTTAAATTTACGTCGTAGAAAAAGAAGGGGAAATTTGTGCAAAATTGACTTAAAGCTACAGATTTAGATATAGATAGAGAAAATGCATCGCTGGTTCTTTGCCAATGAACGAGAGTACTGCCAAGTGCGTGGCATTGATGATGCATCGGCTTTTGATGCGAATAGCGATAAAGCTGAGCCAGAAATCGTCTATACGGATTGGCCGTTCTGCGTGACAACGGCGAAGCCGCTGCAGGGCAATGAATATCTGGCGATAACGGGAAATTGCGATGTGTTGGGCAATTGGCAGCCCAAGAGCGTACACATAATGCAAGCTTCCGACTGCAAGTGTCAATGCGCCTGCCAATGCATCAAGTTCGAGGCGACGGTGCGAATTCCGCGCAACAAGGACATCGAATATCGCTACTGCATCGTTGGCTACGACCCGTTGGCGGACAATGTGATCATACGCTTCTGGGAAGTGATGGAACACCCGCGAATAATACGAATGTGTCACAATATGTTAAGGCACTGCGAAGTCTTTGGCAAGATCGATAGGAACGCCACCGATATCAATGTGGATCGTGGCTGGGCCACAACGGAGACTATCGTCCAGTTCAGGATCTTCAATGCGCCATTCTTGTGGCTGAAGCAAGCGCCTCGACTGCTCTATATCTATATACAGCCGATGTTTGAGACGCCGCCAGAGCGCTGTCTGGGTCGGACCATGGACCCAGTGCGATTGACCATGCCCATCACGTGTCGACGCTCGACAATAAATCAACAAAATTTGCAAATGGCCTTCACGGAGGTTGCCAATCTCAATTTCTCCGAAAGCCTGCACATGCAGCCGAAGCAAGGGGTTCGCTGTGGACCGCATGATCTGCAGATGTATCATTTCTCGCTGGCCCATCCGCTGGAGACGCTCTACCGACTCGATCTATACACGTATGCCCACAAGGCAGCCCCCGATGAGCCCTCCTATCACTATGGCTATGGCTTCGTACAGCCAACGGACCTGCACGGTTCGGAGGGCTGGCTGCGCATCAATATCAATTGTGCGTCCACGCATCGACCTTTGATCGAAATGAGTTTGACGTATTTGATCATCAGGCCGTTGGAGAGCATCAGGTGTGATCTTAGCGTCACCTACGAACGTTTCTGGAGCGAAAAGCATTTGCCCATGGAGATCGGGCATCGCGGCACTGGCAATACGTATCGCTTGGGCGATGATGTTTATCGCGAAAACACTATGTTTGCCTTCAATCGTGCTGCTGTACATAATGCCGATATGATTGAGGTGGATGTGATGCTAACGAAGGACGCTCAGGTTGTGATCTATCATGACTTTGTACTGAAATTTGCCCTCTGCTCGGCGTGGTGTGTGGAAAAGCTGCTGACCGAATACGATGTGATGATCTGTCCGTTTGAGCACTTCAGTCGGAATCGCCTTTTGGCTATGGGCGGCCGGAAGCGAGGCGATTCGATTTTAGTGCCCGTCGAATCCTTTTGCTACGACGAACTGCAATTGGTTCAGCCCTTACGTTACGTCTCGGCCAGCGGCTGCTCCACCGTTTGCGAGCGACATCTGTTGAATCAGAAGCCCTTTCCGCTGCTCCGCGACGTCTTCAATAAGGATATGTTGTCGCTGCCCCCGAACGTGGGCATCAATATCGAAGTGAAGTGGCCGCAACAGGATACCAAAGGTTGCTGGCAGCGGCACAGCTCGAAGCCGAAGTTCGATCGCAATTTCTATGTGGACAAAGTGATCGAAGTGGTATTTCGCTACGCGGGCAATCGTCGCGTCATGTTCTCCAGCTTCGATGCGGACATTTGCATTATGCTGCGCTATAAACAGAACTTCTATCCTGTTCTGCTGATGGTGCAGGCTGCGGAGTTACCCGTGCAGTTCGCCGATCAGCGTGTCAATAACATGGAGAACGCCGCCTTTCTGGCCAGCATTATGGAATTCTTCGGTATGAATTTCTATACGAGCACCTTGTTCAAGCAGCCGCTTATATTGGGCCACATTAAGGAGTTGCACATGCAGGGCATTGTCTGGGGCTCAGAGACGACCGATGCCAAGATCAGGGATAAGCTAAAGAGATATGGGGCAGTTGGTGTTACTTACGATCGCATCGATCAGCAAAATCAGGTTGGCGAGGAGCTGCGAGGCTATGTCTACTGCATCGATTCGATAGCGACGCGGAATCATGTGAAAAATTTGCTCGAATCCGAAAAGCTGATCAAGTGTGCAAAGGGCTAGAAAGACATAGAGAGAGAGCGAGAAAGTGCAAGAGAGTGTGCGAAAGAGAGAGGCAGAAATCGTTTCTATTTTTATCAATCGAGTTTTTTTAACAAAGGCAACAGCGTATGTATGTTTTATGAGAATCAAATTATTTTAAGTTAAATATATATTTGATATTTCTAAGGTAGTTAAAGCCTTTGCTGAAAAATATATCTGATATGAACTGGCTTTTGAGGAATTCTACTGTCAAATATTAATCAACTTAAACTTTCAAATTATAAACTAAATAAGATTTGAGCAGAACTTAGCTAAAAATGTGGCTGATTAAGCTATACTATTTTCGATAGCCATATTTCAACAGCTGTTTGAGTTATCGATAACTTTTAACTGTTGCTTAAATCAATAAATCCAACCACTTGGTATCGATACTTGGTGTCGATACTTCGTATCGATATTTGGTAACGAAACTTGGTATCGATATTTGGTATCGATACTTGGTATTAATACTTGGTATCGATACTTAGTATCGATGCTTTGTATATATACTTGGTAACGATACCTTGTATCGATACGTGGTATCGAAACTTTGTATCGATACGTGGTATCGAAACTTTGTATCGATACGTTGTATCGAAACTTTTTATCGATACATGGCATCGAAACTTGGTATCGATACTTGGTATCGATACATGGTATCGCAACTTGGTATCGATACTTGGTATCGAAACTTGGTATCAACACTTGGCAATATTTCAACAGCTGTTTGAGTTATCGATAACTTTTAACTGTTGCTTAAATCAATAAATCCAACCATTTGATAATGCAGCAAAAGACGAAAAGATTTCAAAGTTTTTACTGAAATTTTGGTTAAAATATGTAGACATAATGTGCATTATGATAGAACAGATTTATTTTTTATTACGCCTAACATGATTTTAAGTACTTGAACTAAAGTGTTTTGTATCTGACACCACACATTCAGCTGAAGATTTGTTTGAAGTGATGGAAGAACAATGAATAAGCAAAGTTTGCAGTTGTAATCTTTACTGAAGACGCTCTAGAAAATCTTTAAATGTCGAAATATCGAAATGACTGACATGAACCTTATACTTGAAGCTCTTATAGTAAAGTCAACTATTTCCATGATCTGATATAGTAATGCCTAATGGCGTGATTGTAGCTTCAAAGTAAAACCTGAAATAATTTAAGCACTGAACTTCTTTCTTGTTTTATTTTAATTTCTTTTCCTGTGGCTCTTAGTTTATCAACGATACGATTTAGCTGATTTCACATTTCTGATTATTATTGATAGCATTATTAATTATTCTATATATTAGCCAAGATTTTGTGCTTCATCACAAAGTTCTTAGTGTTGTTAAAATAAATTTTATACTAAATAAAATTTCTTGAGCTAAAAGTTGTAAATTTCCCTTGCTCAATTCCAATTAATTACAATTAAGTACTTCAGCTCGAGCCACGCCCATTGCATTTAACAGTATATCAAAGCAGAGGCTTTTCACGTAACCACCCCGTTTGATATCATAAGTGTCATCATCACACACACACACACACACACACACACACACAGTCGTACAGTGGAACGTGTTAAAGTCATAAAACACATTAAATCCAATCGAATAATCGAAATGTCACATTAGTTTCTAAAATATGGCCGGACAGCACGTAAGAAAGTATGTGTTACCCCCGTCTTCACCAACTCCACCTAAGCCTCCCCCAGCCCCCTTTAACGAGCACACAAATGTGCCCAAAAAACAAGCCAAAAAACAGGCGAAAAAAACTCTTTGGTAACAGCTTTTGGCCTGCGATTTGTTCCCATTTCTTTCCTGCTTTCTATTGGCTTGCATTTTCCATTCCGTTTTCCAGCTCTCAAGCAACAGCCTTTGCCTCATTCTCTTTTCCTTTGGCGTCCTGTGGGTATAATTTTAATGGTCAAATCGCTTTTGGGGATTGGCTTCGTTGTTTTTTGTCTGTCCATTTCTGGTTTTTTTTTTGCTCTCTCGAAATGGAAATTGCTTTGCACGTCTCGACGACCTGCGCCATGGAAATTGGCATTGAAAACGCATAAAAATAAACATTTCGCTTTTACAAATTCCGATTTTCTGTCTGTCTCTGCGCCAAGATTTATGCTCAGCGCACAGCTCCTGAGGGCTAAGATCTTATGTTTTTGCCAACATTCTTATTTTTTTGTATAGTCAGAGCGCAAGACAATTGCCAACTTGGGAATATTGTAATATTTTTATATGTTTTGTATTAAGCACATAAATCTGGCATAATTTTAATGTTAAAGATTGCTTAACTTTTTAATAAACACGCGCTGAGGACTATTTTGAGATCTGTTCTGATAGAAAATAATTTTGAAATATTTCTTATCTATCAAATTTCTATGCACTAATTTTTGCAGCTTACAAATTTGAAGAGCAGGCAAAAACACTAATTGAAATAAGTTTTTTAAAAGTTTCTGGAGAGCATTAAGAAAGGTCTTCGAATTTCATTATCATTATTAACTGAGCGCATTATTCATCATATAAATATAAATCATATAAATCATAGTAAGTCAGAGATCAAAGTAAATTGGAGCTTTTGTAGAGTTCATGGAGGACTATTTCTAATGATCGATTTTTATCGATAAACTTTAATGACACAAGTATAGATATTTAAGATTTATATAATATTTAGTTTTTTAGTTTTAGATTTAGTTGCGCTTAGACAAACGGCTAGATCGATTAAGCTCATAGTCTTCATCAAGAATATATATAACACCTAAGCCTGCTTCGGGTTTAATCAGAAGAGAGTTCTACCAAAGTACAAATTTTAAATAATATATACTATGTGTATCTATGTATCTATGTGTAGTCTATGGATCTACGTGACGTTTTAATTTAAATTTTGAAATATATTTATTTTCCTATTACTCAGATGTTTATCTTCCACTTTTTCTTTTGCCTTTCTTCTTATCTAAAAATACCAAATATTTTAGTTAATTACATATACTGTCTAAGCATTCTATAAATGTTTTTCCGACACCAAAATACATATTTAAACTATATATAATAAATTTAATTGATCTACCTTAAAGCACACGAGTTACAGCTATATACAAAGCAAATATCTGAAAGAAATTTGCCTAAAGCTCTTCAAAATCGCGTAACTTTAACATGGAGCAGCTCCCCAGCTACTGCAAGCTTCCCCATAAACATTCATTTTCACTTCACTTTAGTTGGCAACTCTGGCAGGAGAAGCGAGCTGGAGTGAGGAGGCTTGGCAACACTGTAGCTGTAACTGTAGCTGTAACTTTAACTCATTTGTATGCCAAACAGCAACTGAACTAAAAGTTCCTTTTTTCTCTTGGATTTCTCTTGCACTTATTACTTATTACTGGACACACACGCAGAGCAGCGCGAGCAGGAGCAGAGGGGGAAAAACCCTAGACATGTGAGACATGGAAATTCATCATCAAAAATGAATAATGTCTACACTTAATGCGACTATGGCCAAGCCACCCCCAAAAAGATTGGACTCTGAATACTCTGGACATTCAGGATAAGCGGCAACAGCAACAGCATCGAATCGCACCCCGAACCCAATTTGCACCCCATCAAAAAGGCGGGCGTGAAGCCAACTGGGTAGGGGGCCAGCTGCCTGAAAGACAGCTGAGTTTGGAAGGGGCTTTCGCTTCTACTTTCGACACTGCGCAGAAAGGTTGCTTGAATATTAATTGTAAATATCTAGACTCCGTAGAGTGTGTGGCGAGAGCAACGAAACAAATGTGCAAACTTAGAAATGCAGGCGACGTGCAAGGACATGTCCACAAGCCCAGCCAAGCAGCCACAGGACATGCAGTGTGAGCTGGGGCAACTTGTCGGGCTCTAATAGATTTCTGTGCTAGCTGAAGATAAAGCTGAAGAGAGGAAGCTGTCAAAAAAGCAAGCCGAACCCCAAATGCAAAGGTAAAGGGATTATTGAGTGCGCTACTCGAGGGCTATGGCAAAATAATGTTAGAATAAAAACTATTCACATATATCAATATATATATATATATATATATATATATATATATATATATGTATAAGAGTGTCTACTTTTAAATTAGTTAGTAAATGGGTTATAATTGAAAGTTACTTAGAAGTGTTCCATTTGCAGCTGTGCAAAATGTGTGCAAAACGAATTGATTGAAACTTTTCTTGCTTAAATTCGATCAGACTTGAACTAAATTTGAAAGATCTGGAGTGTTGAGTACCTGTTGGAAAATGAGTTTCTAAAATGTTCTGAACATAGTTTGACGAGATTTTACTTTATAATATTTTTGATAACGTCATAAAGATTGCTTAAAAAATAATTTTAAAATTAAAACTCTTTTTTAATGTGGATATAATTACAATTAAGATTACCTGTCTTAAAGTTCAAGCAGAAACAGTTTTCAAAAGTAAAGAAAACTCTTATGTATATCTTTTACTTTCGATAATTTCTTAAATTCAATAAATGTGGAGTTATTTACGTCTTTCTTTCTATCTCTCTCTAGATAGATAATAGATAATTAATAATTATAATGCAAATATATTTTATAGATAATTAATAATATATAGATAATTAATAATTATAATGCAAATATATTTTATTCCGTTTTTATATTTTATATAAGTAATATCATAGGCAGACAGTAGCATGTGTGTCATACTCAATACATATACACTATACAGTATTTAAATTCAAGATCAAGACTATGAGCTGAGTCAATTTAGCCATGTTCGCATGCCCGTTTGTGTGTCTGCCCAACTAACAGTCCGTCTGTTCGCAGTGATCTCGTAGATTACATCTATATACAGCAAAAATTTGTAATTTTCAATGCATATTCCTTCATACCATGCAGGCTTGTCCTTTTTTTCCATAGTTCATCTCATTTTTTTTCATCCAGACATTGATTTAGTTTGTTAAGCTGAGATTCAAAGCCACAAAACCTAGAGACTTGAAATGTTTGGCATATCTTCTAGACGTACGCTCTCGTCTAGAGCACTCTTACTACTGTTACTTCAAGTCAACTAAAAACTGAAATATTATATATTTTTATGAAACGTATATAAAAATAGATAATTTTCCAGTTTTTAGTTGATTTGATTTACATAGCAACTGCAGCTGATCTTCTCTGATTCATGATTCATGACTTATATCTTTCTATTCATATTTCCTAGTCAAACGTGTTCAGTT